AACAACAACAACAACAACATTTCAATTAAAGCCCTTGTCACTTGGAACTCTGTGTTTGTTATATAGGCACTCCCCAACTCTGGTCAACTCCATGAAGGCAAGAGTATTCTGGAATTCCTTTTTACAAAACAGGTGAAGCTAAAAGGTGGGTGGAAACCAAGCATAGGATGGTACTGGCAGAAGGCAGGGCAGGGAAGACACAAAGTAGGGCAGAGGCTTTCTTGAGGAAAATATGAAAGTAATTTTTTGAACAGAAAAATCACGATATTCCCCATCATAATGCAAATGGAGTTGTATAGAGGTTGGGTTTCGACTCATTGCAAAAAACGACTTTTTCCTAGCTGAATCAACCCAGCTGACATTGCTCATGTCAGGAAAGGAGAAAAGTGTCTGGCTTGGGGAGTTGGGGACACAGGAGGCTAGGGCGGGACACGAGCTGAGGAACACTAGTTCTTTTCTTGTGGCAGACAAACACGCGCTAGTGACAGAACACGGCTGTGAGGAGAACAAATGGGAAAGGGGGCTGGAACAACATGGGCAGTGCTACGTAATTACAGTCAAACACATCTTCAACGAATAACAACCTGTATTTACATGCAAATGTATTCAGTTATGCAAATTAACAGAGCTCTCGGAGGAGGGAATTTTAAGTCTCGAGATTGTGCAGTTATTGAAAAAAAAAAAGCAAAGCTGTCCCTGGGGTGTTCCACGCCTGACTTGCCCCTGGGAGATAGGCCTGTTCCAAGAGGACGAAAACAGAATTAACTCAGTTTGCACAGACTGGCGAGCAGCGCCCCTAACAGGAGAGCAGCCACCAGCCCAGAAAGCGCGCATGCTCACTCCTCTCTCGTGCCCTACCTCCCCGGAAGGGGCAGCGAGCCTTAGTGCGCACGCGCCCTCCATGCACGCCAACTCCTCCCTCGGGGGCAGTAACAAGCGGAGCCAAAATGGCGGCTAGCCGCTACCGGCGTTTTCTTAAGCTCTGTGAGGAATGGCCCGTCGACGAGACGAAACGGGGCCGGGACTTGGGCGCTTACCTGCGGAAGAGGGTAGCACAGGCCTTTCGGGAGGGAGAGAACACGCAGGTGACCGGACTGTGGCGGTTGGGGAGAGGGGAGGTACGGAAAGGAAGAGACGGGACGGGACCAACGCTCGGCCTGGCGGCAGGACTTGCGCATGCGCGCGCCTTCTTCCCAGGCCGCACGTGCGCGCATACCCTTCTCTCCAGAAGAGACACCCCTAGACAGCGACACCCCTTCCTTCTACTTTGTACCCTCTCTTGGCTGCGTCTTAGAATCATCGAGGAATCTTTTTTATAAATTTAAGTGCCCCGCAGCGACCCCATCATTGTAAAAGAATTGCTGGGGCTGGGCCTCGGCTTTGGTAAATTTTAAAGCTCCCCAGGTGATTCAAGGTGCAGTCAGAGTTGAGACCCACAGTATGTATCACAGTGTGGTGACAGCCAACTGTAGGTTTGTTGCTCCCACATGGTGCTATTTAATTAAACCATTATGCGTTGATACAGCTTATGGAGAACTTCCATTATCCCATTTTTCCACGAACTTCTTGAAGGCTCGACTACCTATTATTGCCAGCAACTGTGCTAGGTAACGGAAAGGCAGCTGTAACCCAGATGAGTTCCTCCCTCATGAAGCTTACATTCTGGTTCAAGACACATTAAATACACCGACATATCAGGGGGCTTCAAAAAGCTTGTAGAAGATTCTACTGTTTTTCAGTTCCGTTTTTCCATGAGCTTTGTGAAGCCTTTCTCATATTAGACAGTCTAGGTAAGTACTATGATGGATATAAGATAGAGTGCTGTGATGGAGGGAGTCCTGGTGAGGCGCTGTAAGGTAATCACCGGACTGCTAACTGCAAGGACAGCGATTCAAACCCGCCAACTGTTCCTTGGAAATCCGATATAGGACCACTGTAAGTGGGAACAAACTTGATGGCACTTAGTACAAAACAGCACCTGTGATAAAGGAGTACCATTAGCTCCAGTGGTCAAATAAGGCCTGAAGAGGTAATGCATAGGTGAGAGACTTAAGGAAAGCAGATGAGCTAGAAGGTCATTTCCGGAAGAGGGAACAGGCATGCACAGTTCTGAAACAGGAAGCAGATTGGCACATTAGAGAAAGCCAGAGTGATACAGGGTAGTGAGTGAGAAGCAGTTTAATAAGATTTGAGGCAAACAATGGCAGGACCCCAGGCACTTAAAATCTTTCATGCCATGTTTGGAGTCCTGGTGTGGTGCTGTAGACTGTATAGTCTGTTTGAACTGCAAGGTTAGTGGTTCAAACTCACCAACCGCTCCTTGGAAACCCTATACAGGGTCGTTGTGAGTTGGAACCAACCTGACAACACTTAGCAACAACAACAATGCCATGTTTAGGCATATGGATTTTATAACGCCAGTGGTATGCCATTAGGGGAGTTTAGTCACAGTATTGATATTACCTAATTTACTTTTTTAAAAAAGATCACTTTGGTTGTAGGTGAGCCTCTTAGTGGTATAAGTGATAAACACATTTAGCTGCTAACCAAAAGGTTGGTGTTTTGAGTCTGCTCAGAGGGGCTTCGGAAGAAAGACTTGGGGATATACTTCCAAAATAACAGCCATTGAAACCTTATGGAACACAGTTCTCTGACACACATGTGGGTGCCATGAGTTGAAATCTTTTTGAGCAGCTGGCTTTCGGCGTTATGTGGTGAACGCATTATTGTTGTTGGGTGCCATCTAGTCAGTTCCTACTCATAACAACCTTATATACAACAGAACAAAACACTGCCTGATCCTGTGCCAACCTCGTTGCTACACTTGAGCCCATTGCTCCTGCTACTGTGCCGATCCATCTAGCTGGTTGGGGATGGGGGTGGGGGAGTGTCTTCCTCTTTTTTGCTTGACCCTTCACTTTCCTAAACATGATGTCCTTCTCTAGGGACTGCTCTCTCCTGATAATATGTGCAAAGTATGAGAGACAAAGTTTGGCCATCTTGACTTCTAAGGAGCATCTGGTTTACTTCTTCCAACACAGATTGGTTTGTTCTTCTGGCAATCCATGGTACTTTTATTAATATTCTCCCAACTCCATAACTCAAATGTATCAATTCTTCTATGGTCTTCCTTATTCGTTGTCCAACTTTTACTTGAATATGAGGCTGTTGAAAATACCATGGCTTGAGTCAGGCACACCTTAGTCCTCAGACTGACATCAACACTTTACAGAGGTCTTGTGCAGCAGATTTGGCTTATAGGAAGCAAGAATAGAGGAGGTTGAAGAAAAGACTACTATGGTAATACAAGCAAGAAATGGAGGTGACTTAGATGAATGTGGCAGCACAGGAGGTGGAAGTGGCTAGAGTCGGGTTGTAATTTGAAGGTGAAGTCAACTGGACTTGTCAGCCTATTGGATGTGGGGTAAAGGGTTAAGAGTAACTAAGAATAGTACCTAGATTTTTTTGTTGTTGTACTGGGTGGTGACATTTATGAAAGACCAGATGAAGAACAGGTGAGAGCCTGGGAAGAACATCTTGAGTTTGATGTTAGACATATTAAACTTAAGATGTCAAGCAAACTTACTTCCAAGTGGAAATGTCAAGTAAGCAGTGGGATATTTGAGCCTGGGACTCAGGCAAGAGGTTAGAGATATGAAATAAGATACACACACACACATACCCTGAACAAATTACTTTGGGAAACTTGGCTAGGACCTGTCAAAACAGGAATATGTTCTTTTGTAAGTTGGCCCAAATCAGAGCCCAAGCCAGACCTCCTGAAGCAACAACATGACTACTGACATCATTGTAACAAGAATGCTGATTGGGTGGCAGGAGTGGATGGAGTGTCTGACCCAGGACCTCTGCGTGTGGGGCTGCATTATAATCAGGGCTCTCGTGTATTTTAGGTAGCATTCATTGACCCAAAGTATAAACATCTTGAAGGCAAAAATATCCAGTTCCAACATCATAAACTATAGACACTGTAGGGCTGTACTCCCCTACCAAAGGAGCCTTGGTAGTACAGTGGGTTAAGCATTGGCCTGCTAACCACAAGGTCTGCAGTTCCAACACACCAGCCACTCCAGCCATTCCTCCCAAGAAAGATGAGGCTGTCTGCTCATAAACATTTACAGTCTTGGAAACCATAAGGAGCAGCTCTACTATAGAGTCAGCCCTGCAGAGTCAGAATCCACTCAATGGCAGTAGGTGTGGTGGTGTGCCATGGAGTGGATTCAGACTCATAGTGACCCTGTTTGAGGCTGTAAATCTTTACAGGAGAAGAAAGTCTCATTTTACCCTCAGAGCGCCAGTGACGAGCTGCTGACTCCTACAGTTAGGAGCCCAGCATATAACCCACTACACTACCTGGGCTAAATCTTTTTGGTGAGCTTTTTTGAGTCTAGAGATGATGCCATTTTCGCGTTTCTCCTGCCATTATCTTTTGTTGTTAGGTGTCATCAAGTCAGTTCCAAATCAGAGTAAGTGATCCTGTGTGCAATTGAATGAAACCCTGCTCCATCCAGTGCCATCTTCACAATCATTGCTGTGTTTGAGCCCACTGTTGTAGCTACTCTGTCAGTCCATCTCTTTGAGGGTCTTCCTCTTTTTCATTGACCTTCTACTAAGCATGATGTCCTTCTCCAGGAACTGGTTCCTTCTGGTAACATCCAAAGTATGTGAGACACTGTCTTGTCATCCTAGATTTTGAGGAGCATTCCAGTTATACTTCTTCCATACAAATTTGTTCATTCTTCTAGCTGTCTGATATCTCAATATTCTTTGCCAACACCATAATTCAGAGGCATCAATTCTTTGATCTTCTGTACTCGGTGTCCAGCTTTTGTATGCAAAGGCAGCGATTGAAAATATGAGAGGACATCAAAAAGTTAATCGAAAATGAACTTAAAAGATAATGACCTTTTGCTATGAACTTTGAAACCCTCTCATACAGTGGCTTGGGTCAGGCATATCTTAGTTCTCAAAGTGATCTCTCTGCTTTTTATCACTTTAAAGAGGTCTTTTGCAGCAGATTTTCCCAATACGGTACTTCATTTGATTTCTTGATTTCCATGGACATTGATTGTGGATCCAAGTAAACTGCAATCCTTGACAACTCCAATCTTTTCTCTGTATATTGTGATGGTACTTGTTGATACAGTTGTGAGGAAGGATTTCTGTTTTCTTTATGTTGAGGTGTAATCTATACTGAAGGCTTTAGTCTTTGATCTTATTCAATAAGTACTTCAAGTCCTCTTCATTTTCAGCAAACAAGGTTATAGTATTTGCACATAAGCGATTGTTATTACTTTTGCCCCAATCCTGATGCCAGATTCTTCTTCATAGACTCCAGATTCTTGGATTATTGACTCAGTATACAGATTGAATAAGTATCCTGAAAAGGATACAAGCCTGACGCTCACTTTTCTGATTTTAAACCACTCACTCTCCCCTTTTCTAGATCAACAACTGTCTCTTAGTCTGTGTATAGGTTTCTCATGAGCATAATTAAGTTTTGGAATTCCCATTCTTCTCATTGTTATCCATAATTTGTTAGGATTCATGTAATCAAATGCCTTTACATAGTCAGTAAAACACAGGTAAACATCTTTCTTGTATCCTCTGCTTTTAGCCATGATCTGACATCAGCAATGATAACCTTCATTCCATATCTTCTGAATTGGTTTAAGTTTCTGGCAGTTTCCTGTCTGCATACTTTTGCAACCGCTTTTGAATTATCTTCAGCAAAAATTTACTTGTGTGTGATATTCCTGATACTGTTTTATAGTGTCCACATTCTATTGGGTTTTATCATTTCTACATTCTATTGGGTCACCTTTCTTTGGAACAGGCACAGATACGACTCTCTCTTCCAGTCATTTGGCCAAGGTAACTATCTTCCAAATTTCATGGTATAGAAGAGTGAGCACCTCCAGCACTGCAGCTGTTTGCTGCAACATTTGAGTTGGTATAACGTTAATTCCTAGAGCCTTGTTTATCGTCATTGCCTTCAGTTTATCACTTGGACTCTTTCTTCAGTATTACTGGATTTTGATCATATGCTACCTCTTGACAGCATCTA